TGCATATATTTGTCAAAAGGCCACATTTCACAATCGATTCTATAATCTAGGATGCACGCCATACGACTACCCATAACATAACATATCACAACATACAACTATGCAAATTAGAAAGACTGGTCATACTCGAGCCGAACAATCAACGTTGGATGAAAATGCAACAAGAAATAAGAATGCTGTCACGTTCGCTACACCACTCGCCTAGCGATTCCTTGGCGAACACTCGCTACGGGTTTGCCTAGCGAACGAGCTCGCGAAGACAAACAGAAGCTACTGGAAGGATTCGCTACTGGCTCGCTGGAGCCTCGCCTAGCGAACAACTCGCTACATCACTCGCTACTAGCGAAAAGGATCATTTCCATTATGCTCAAGTCTGGGGACGTTCGCTGGCAGCTCGCTACCAACTCGCTTAGCGAACACTCGCCACCTTGCTCGCCTAGCGAACGTGCTAGCGAGCGTCTGCGTATTCCAAAACCCCAACTGTCGAAAAACCTCAGAAACTCCCGAAATCACCCGATTCAATTCCAACAAGTTCCACTAGTCTTAGCCTAACATTCCTCGACTAAACTACACCATTAATTCCAGATTCTAATCGTTAAATCATCGATTCCTACCGATTAAACCATTTATGACCTAGAATGGGAAAATATGGAAAACATCCAAACAATCTAAACACACACATACACAATCACACACATTAATAGAATAATAAGATTTCACACCCTTACCCGATTAAATCGAATCCTAAGGGTTGATCTTGATGAATCCAAGCTTTTCCTCTATTTTCCTTCTCTTTTGTCCTCTTCCTCTTTCTTTCTCTCCTTTCCTTCTTTTCTCTCCTCTTTCTCTTATATCTCTTTCTATTATAATCCCCTCCACCATATTTTCTTCTCTCAAAATATCTACCCATTCATTTAAATTAAAGAAATCACATAAATTAATTAATTAACATAAATAATTAATTATTAAAAAATTGGGTTGTTACATTGTAGAAGGAGAAAAACATTACTACGATAGGATGAACCCTCAGTGGCTAGTAAATGATCCTGAATGCCCGAATCAAGCTCCAACCATTGGGTGTGATCTGGGATGGGGCGATATTGATCACCTTCAAAATCTCTGCCTTAAATGGGGAAAGGGTGACTAGGACCCCTAGGTCACGTATGAATGAGATGTCAAAGTAGAAGTAAGGGTAGGGGATTTCTGAAGTCAACTATATTAGCCCTCTTTGTTAAGGAACGCGTCTCTAGGATGACTTCTTCCTCATCACTGAAAGAGGAAAGGTTGGCATATTTTGGAAAGGAAATTATACTTTATTTAGTGATGTAATGGGATTCGATGTCCTCGTTGTACTCGCACTCAGTATCAGAGGCGACCATTAGCTTCTCATTTCTTGAGAAAATAGAAGGGAAAAAGGGAGTCGTTATTGCTACCACCATTATTATAGTCAACATTCTCATTAAGATGTTTGGCGTTCCTATAACAATAATTCCACAGGGATATGCACTCATCGTAATTCAAAGGCTCTACCAGGTTGACATTCTCATACGAATTCTTAATTATATCCATAAATGGGAAAAAGAAGAATAATGGGTATCATGCCTGTACATGTAGCTAGAGGCTTGAGCTTAAAAGATATGAAAATTCATAAAGGATATTGAAGAGGCTTTCAAAGAATTCAGGCTAAAATTATGTAAAAAGGTGAAAGGGTTATGGTTGAACCCCTTTTATAGAGGTTTGTGGATTACTAAGAGTAATCAATGGCCTATCCCTAGGTTTTCGATATGAAAGGCTCAACATGCTTCTGACATGTGCGAGAAATTAAGGCCAATTTGGAATCCTGAGACTAAATCATCATTGATTACATTTTATTTTGTGCGTGCTTTTCACCTTGAATGATGTTTGGGAATTTCCCTCAGCTGATGTTTGGGGATTCCCTCATCTAATGTATGAGGATTCACTTCATTGACACCTTGAAGTATATCCCAAACCATTCTTGAGGGTAGGGGTGTTCGTGGTACGTTTTGGGCAGTTTTGACGCTAAAGATCATTTGAACTGCAAGAGAAAAAAGCATGAGGTCGGTTTGGTTTGGTTCGTTTGGTTTTTAAAAATGAAACTGAATCAAATCGAACCAAACCAATGTGGTTTGGGCTAATTCGGTTTTTAAAAGATTTTTTTAGCCATATATACACATATAGAGAACAACATAATTTTTGTTTAGTCATTCAAGCATTACCAAATAACGATAAAATTCATCTTCTAATTCAATATAAAAAAATAAGATTAGACAAAAGTGAAATAAAAACATAAAATAATAGCATAAAAAAATATCAAAAATATTATAACAAACAAGAAAAAACGGAGGAGATGATATATTATAGGAGATGGAAAAGAAAGAACATAAGAGATACGAGATTAGAGAAGAAAGGTGAGATAAAAACGTAATCGAAAGAGAAAACAACATAAAAATGAGAAGATGAAAGGTAAATAACATAAGATATGAGAGATTATATAGGAAGAGGTAAGATGTACATGGAAAAAAATATTGGAAGAATGCATGATACTACTGGAAGATATTTGAGAAGGTTAAAACTAAAACCCTAAGTGCGCTAAGAGAATATTTGTAAGGCTGAGGCATAATATGTTTGAATTTTGGGTTGGATGTGGAATAAGTAAAGTTTGGATTAAAACATAATGCAGTTTGGTTTGATTTAGTTCGATTTGCAAAATATAAACTGCAGTCCAAATCGAACTGTGTTATTTTGTTAGAAAATGACCTAAACACATCCGAACCAAATGCGATTTTTTGCGGATTTTGTCTGGTTTGGTTTGGATTGTAGTTTTCTATTGCGTTATTTCAGTTTTGAACACCCCTACTTTAGAGACTCTCCCCATTCCTGAGGGATTCCTCTCATGTCAAAGGGATTCATTCCATGCCTAAAGAACTTACCGCATTCTCAAGGGAATCACCTCATGCTTGAGGAACTCACCTAGTGTTAATGGACTTGCCGTAGACATGATTGGGTATTCATTCAAATTAGGAGAGAAAAATAAACTAAATCACTCCGCTCTTTCCAAGTTCTCGTACTTGAGAGGTTGTGTATTAGTATATTTGTAAATAACTCACAAGGGGCCTCATAGAAGGTTCATTAAAGAAGGCGACATAACATGTCTCCCACACTCACTTCCTAGTTACTCATATATTGGAACCAATGTCTGTCATTTTGTTATGATGCCCATTTCTTCATTGTGTCTCCCATTCCTTGGATGATCCGCCTAAGTCGTGAGAATGTAGAAAATGATGTGTCTTAGTTTATAATGGTACAAATCAGAAATCAAAAGGGGAAACCACACTCTCCTAATTAATAGGGAATTAACTGCCAACTCCCCACATTCTTGAGAACGGTTATCATTATCTTGAAGTTTAGGGTGTAGGTCCATGCTCAATGATCCCTTATAAATACCTCAATCAGAAGGATGAGAGTAAAACGGAGGATCCATTGCGCAATCACCATATACGAAACTTCTTACAATTCTTGAGTGAGTTATCTCTAACCATATAACAACCGCAAAACTTTTGACAACTCTACAACTCAAATGGATTATTATGTATTATAGTTTTAGCAAGTACACTCACAAAATCAATTAATCAAAACCATAATGTAAAATAAATTATTTTTTAATAGATGGTAACATGAAGTTATTATTATATATCTCCTATTCAGAATTAACATTAACCATTGTTAAATCGTAGATGAATTTTATAAAAAATTATGTATTTAAAAAATCGTGTTGTAAAAATATTTTAAAAAAATTCACTCTGACGTAGACACAATTGCTAAGGCCCAAGTTTGATGGCCCCAATATAATGCCAAAATTACGTGCTACACCACACATCATATTATAATATAGGTGAATTAATATGTAAATTATAGTACAAAAGTTTGTATATTTAGATGTTTTGTGGTTGACTTTTAATATTATATATTTTTTGACAAACTTATAACATTTCACTAATTTAAAGGTGCTCAATACAATGTGATATTTTGGCCAATAAATTAAAATTAGTTAGAGATATAATCATCTTAGATAGACTAAAGGCAATCTCATTTGTTTGCCTCTGAATAAACTCTAACACTAGAGGTATTATAAACAATAGAGAACTCTCTATAATGACTAAAAATATCTTCAAGTCAGATTTTCTTTTTAAATAGAAAACTATTCACAGTATCTAACTCAAAATCAACATTATAAATCCACTTGCATGCTGAGAGTAAACTAAGAGTTTCATCCACACAAACATCACACAAAGGAAAAATCCATTTGATTTTAGCTAAAACAAAAACATCACTCTGATTTCTGATACAAACATCAATTTCGACCTATTGCTGATAGAAGATAGAAGAAAATGACGCATTCACATTATATTTAATTCTACTAATTTATGATCATTTTAAAAAATATAGAAAGATGGGGCGAGAGGTTAAATTCTCGTCCTTTTTCATAAATAATATTAGGACGTATAAATGAAGTATAAATGAAGTGTATACACAAAAACAAAAAAAATTTAATTGGTATGTATTAATAATGTAAATATTTTTTACACCGTCAATTAATTATAATTATTAATTTATTTAAAAGAGCTGATTTTAACTTTAACTATTTGAAGAATAATACCAATCAATGATTGTAATATATTGATAATTTAAAAATTTTTACTCCAACAATACATCACAATTAGTATTTAAACAAAAACGAATTTTTTTTTTTTTTTTGTTTTTTTGGTTGTTGAACGGTATAAGTATAATACGATGTTTAAATGCAGTATAGACAAAAACAAAAACGACAGAATATACCAAACTCTGTGCCGCTGAAACAATTCATAAACGACAGAATATAGCAAACTCTGTGCCGCTAAAACAATTCATAAACGACAGTGTCTGAAGTCTGAAAATTTGTAACTTGTCACCGTTTCACAGTCTCCTTAATTTCAACAACTATGGCTGCATCTTCTTTAACAGCACTTTCCCTCTCCTTCCCATTCATCACATCTACCAAATCTTCTCCCCCAATTCCCTTCTCTTGCTCTTTCCCTCGCAATCTCCATCTCAAATCACCACGAATCGTCTCAGTCTCCGGAGCTGCAACTCCCACCACCTCCGTTGAAGTTGACAGATCCCCGATCTCCGCCACTCCTATCAAGGTTCTTCCGTTTCGGGTTGGGCACGGGTTTGACCTTCACCGATTGGAACCCGGTTATCCCTTAATTATTGGTGGAATTAACATACCTCATGATAGAGGTTGCGAGGCTCATTCTGATGGTAACCCCTTCTCATTCTTTCTACAATACTTCGAGAAATACTCAGTTGGATTCTTAAATTCTGTTATTGAATTACAGGGGATGTTCTGCTTCACTGCGTGGTTGATGCAATTTTAGGCGCTTTAGGTCTTCCTGATATAGGACAGATTTTTCCTGATAATGATCCTAAGTGGAAGGGTTGTGACTCTTCCGTGTTTGTCCATGAATCTGTGAGTTCTGCTTTATTTTCTCCATTCAAATCTGATTTAGGCATTAGTGTTGTTTGAATTTAGTTTTGATTTTGGAATCAATTAATAGCCCACCAAGTGTTTGTTATAATGATTTGCATGTTCTTTCACAAATTGTGTTTCCATTTTTAAGGGACACTGCATATTCCTTTCAAGTTATTATTATGCACTGCTAGAACTCAAATGGTTTCCAAAATATAAGCAAGATAGAAAGGTATGCAATGTAATTGGAGAAGGTGGAGTGGAAATGTGATCTCAAGTGCATTCCATCTGCTACTTCTACTTTTTATTTTGTAATTTAGGTTTTTTGATGTATGAGTTTGGGGCATATGATATGTCATCAACTCCTTAGCCTGAGAGGGTGTGATAAAACAGGAACTCATTCCTCACATGTGCATTAAATCTAGAGGGTCCAAGAACATGTGTTTAGGAAATCATGTACTAATTAGTGTATAATTGTTAATCAGTAAGCAGGGTGAGGCCGTGAGGGCTTAAAAGTTAAAAGAGATTAGTGCTTTAGTTAATGGTGGTAATTAGCCTAGACCTCATCAGGGAGGCTACTCATTAGTTTGAGTCAAACATGCTTGTCTGCTTACTAATTTGCATCTTTTATTTTCCCTTGATTATTTGCAAAGCTGTTGATCAAACCCATTTATTTTCCCTTCATTATTTGCATCTTTTCATGAACTAACACGCATAGGTTCACAAGGTCTGTTATTATACCGGGCACAAATTTACATCTCAGAAACAACCAGCAGCCTTGTACTTACCTCAACATACACTGCACGCATGCCACACCTCACATCTGCAATATGCATTTATTATATATATTATTTCCTAAGCAAAAGTTCCTATTCACTCTAGATTAGGGCTGTTCAGAAAAACCATGAACTGAACCGAACCGTCAAACTGAACCAAACTGAAGTTAAAATAACCAAACCGTTGTGTTTGGTTAGTGAACCCAACCATATTGTACAAAACGGTTCTAGAACTGAACCGAAACTGAAATCGAACCAATTATTTTGGTTCGGTTCGGTTCTAAGTAAATTGAAACGGTTCGGTTAGTTCGGGTAAACTTTTACTATGGTTCAATTTAGTTCGGTTCGGTTTTCTCACTAAACTGTACCATGAACACCCCTACTCTAGATACAGCTTACATGTGATGTGTGACTTCCTATTCCAAACAATTTCAGATTCAATGCATATCTGAAGAATGAGTTCCTATTCTAACAAGTTCTATTTATTTAAGCCAAGATAGACCAAAAAGTAGAAAGAAAGTTCAAGGATATTACAGTAAGAAAAAAACTTTTAACTGTAGTACTGTATTCAGAAGTTAAGACAGTGCTTTATCAAGCAACTATGTAACATGTTAAATGATAGTGTCTCTTCTAATCCAAACAAAAATTTGTATGTTATTGAATAAATTACACTGAGGTGTAACAGTTGTGCAGTAACATTTCTTGCATTTGTTTATTGTTCAATTCCATTTGCTTTTTAATTTATGTGTGATGGTTATACGAGGAAAATTGTACTTGGTTGTTGAAAGTGTTTCTCTAGAATTATGATTAAAGACAATATTGTACCTATACTTGATACTTAATAGGGTATTTGCTAATCTGTTATAGTTTTATTACAGGTCAGGCTTATGCATGAGGCTGGTTATGATATCGGAAATTTAGATGCCACATTGATACTTCAGAGGCCGAAACTAAGCCCACACAAGGATGCTATCAAGGCCAACTTATCTGCATTGCTTGGAGTTGACTCATCTGTGGTAAATATAAAGGCAAAAACTCATGAAAAGGTTGATAGCCTTGGAGAAAATAGAAGTATAGCAGCTCACACAGTTGTTCTTCTAATGAAGAAATGATGGTAGAATCTGGAAATATTACGAGGGACGTGAAAGAATAATGATTTCATAAAGTCACAGAAAATTTAATAAATTATGCTTTACTGGCTACTTGTATACCGGGTTTTTGATAGAACATAAAGGCAGAAGTTGATTCATATAGCATGCTCCACTTAGTGGGATAATGCCTGATTGTTTTTGTTGTATGCTTTATTGGCACTTGTATACTGTGTGTTTATACAAAATCTTATAGATCATTTGGACTGCAAATCATTGGTGTAACTCATTTTTCAGAACTAGTAACTAATTTGGCTTGTGTGTGTATCTTTGCTTTAATTCTTGTCAGAATTTGCTTGCATTGTTTTTTTTTTTTGTGTTAATATATAATTAATTATCAAATTAGCAATTTAATTACTCTTATTACTACCAAACTGATGCAGAATGTTACATGAGCACATGCCAATGCAGTAAGCGGCGGCCTTAAGCTAGCAAAGTCTAAATAGCCTAACTTGTGGGCATGTGAAGGCACATGCACACACGCTCATTACTAAGTAAGACCTATTTGGATCAACATCTAGAAGTCCCAAAGGAGCAGAGTTAACTTAGATAAAAACTGTTTTTAAATTAAAACTATATAGTTGAAAAACAAGCATATATTTTACCAACTGCATTGTGTATGGAAGGCATGAGTGTCGTCGTTATTTTACGTGGATGTAGAAAATTGAGGCGCAACTATCTGTTGAGTGTTGACCAAAACTCCATTCGTTATTCTATAACAGAAAAAGTCAGTATTTTAACTTTCATAAATTGTTAAAAAAAGTAAGGGGGTAAAAAAGTAAGGGGGTGCTCTTTCCACCGATAATGGGTGCATCTCAAAGCCAAAATTGTTTCTAGTGTCCGGAACCCTTATGAGTGCATCTCACACATTTGAAAAGCCGAAAATATCCTTAGTGTCCGCATATATATCTTCGGACGCACTTAAAATTACACCAACAAAGACGTTACAAGTGAGACATCTTTTATTTTGTCCGAAAAAATATTCAGAGATACATCTCTAAAATAATTTCAGAGATATATCTCCGCAAAGTATTCTGTTTCACTTTCTCTTTTATTTTGTTATAATGCTATACATCTCACACATTTGAAAAACCGAAAATATCCTTAGTGTCCGCATATATATCTTCGGACGCACTTAAAATTACACCAACAAAAACGTTATAAGTGCGACATCTTTTATTTTGTCCGAAAAAATATTCAGAGATACATCTCTAAAATAATTTTAGAAATATATTTTCGCATTTTATTTTGCTATAATGCTATACTACCCTGCACTTTTTTTGGGGAGATCTTTTGATATCTTGATACAATTTCTTCTAAGAAATATCTAATTATATTAAGAAATATCTAATTATATTGAGGTTATCTTCATACTTTAGAGTTGAGATCTCTTTCAAAAGAGTTAGAGTCTAAATATCAAAGTGATGCAAACTTTGTTTATATATTTATTTTTATGTAGAAAGTTGTATTTATCTGGAATGGAAAAATATAGTAGTACACTACACCTTACTCTTTTTCACAGACGAGTTTTATATATCTTGGATACAATTTTTTTACTATCCACTTTATTGCATTATAAAATCTGAGTTTTCATTTCTAAATCTAATGAAGCTATGTTGAATTGTTTTTGAAAAATCCTAAATAGTGCCCGATGATACATATTTAGACATACCTAAAAATTATACAAAAATGTGTTAGTTTGAGATTTTCATTTTGCTAAAAAATTGTCTAAAAATGCATTTTCGAACATTATGGATATTTGTGATTTTTCACACTGGTGGACGAACACATGTAAGAGTGGAAAGAGTAACCAAAAAATAAATAATAAATGATTAACGAACAAAACTAGTCTAATTAGAGACCGATAGTTTATACTTTGGATGTAACAATTAGACCGAATTTTAAGAGAGTTTTTTTTGTCACCCTCACTTATACCTGACACTACCTCATACACCCTAAGCTTTAATCTTATTAACCCTGTCAATTATTAAAATCTATTTCACAAAAGTCACTGGAATATTTCAAGCCTTTTGAGAACCTCTAGAGATTTCTGGATTTTTTGAAGACACTATCGCATTTTTCGAAGTTTATGACAAGTATTATTTTTTTTATCATGTTTTTGGAAAAATCTGGTAAAACCACATGTTTCTCATGTATTTTTACTGATTTTCAAAAAATACGATATAAATGCATAACTTTTTCTGGATTTTTTTGAAAAAATCAATAAAAATGTATGAATTTTTCAGTTTTTCTGAAATAATCGGTAAAAATGCATGCAATTTTACATGATTTATGTATTTGTGCAGGTCCCTGCTATTCCATCTGAAGGCATTGATAGATGGTTTATTAGTCACATTTTGGGGTCTACCTGTGACATTAAAGATCGTGCAATGGAACTTTGGTTCCCAGCGGAGTGTGTGGATGAGTACTTTGAGTGGTATCTTATTGTATCACAACTTTGCGTCATCCCACCTAAGCAACATTGAGATGATGCTAAATCTTCTCATGTCGGACCTTCTCATGCCATGTCTTCTCATGTTGGGCATTCTCATGATAAAATACCTTATGATGTTGGGGTACCTTCTGATGACGTGTCGCCGCCTCTAGCGCTCCCACATGGTGTGAATGACACTCAACGTCTGTAGATGATAACAATCATTATGAATAACCTCATGGATTTGGTGGACCCAAATGACGAGGTTTATACTTTGGTATCGCATGCAACACACATAGCCCGCGTGCGACCTATTTAGTCCTTATTATCATTTTTGTATTATTTGTATAGTATGTGCAGTATTACTCTGACATTTTCACAATATTGTTTATTATATAATATTTTGACACTTCCATTGATGCATGATGAACATAACTTAACAATTGTCAAGTGGTTACATAACTTAAGAAGGCAACAATAAATTAGAAAAACTAAACATTATCAGATGATTCTAGACGTTTAACTTTTTTGATTATGTCTTCGCCAGATCTAGAAACAGTCGCATCAAACTCGACTGGTCCCTTAGTTAGTCTACAGTGACATGTTCTATACATACCTTTCAAATCTTTATTGATCTTCAACTTAATAAGCTTGTATTTCACCTTTCCATTAGTATTAATCCAGTCATGATAAAACTCGATCTTATTAGCCTTTATGTTCTTGGTGTCTGATAACATATCATTCAACTTGGATCTCAGAAGGGCGAGACATGCGGTGCCCTCAAGGTGCCGAAACTCTACAAGAGGTTTCACCCTGTTGAAATACAGGTTTGCTTTAATTAAAAATCGAGGCATTGTAAGATGTTTTTCTTAATAACACATGACCCCTGTTTATACAAATTTGAATTCATTATGGACCACATGAAATAGTCGGTGCAATCACATCTGCACAAAATTCTCGGCGAAATATCAATCGTTCAATTAACACTATCGAATTTTTACATGACCCACTAAAAGTTCGGTAATTGAAAGTTGATTTGAAAAAATCATTAACTTTTGCACTATCATATTTTTCATCTTTAATAAAAAAAATGGTAAAAAAACACTTTTAAAATATCCGGTTTGTGACATAATATACCAGTTTCTTAAAATACTTGGTACATCGGATTTTTAAGATACACTGCAGAATTTTTTTATTTGTAACAAATTTTTTAGGGGCACTACCTGATATTTTGTCTGAAATTTTTGATAAAATTATGACAAGAGTAACATAGGTATTATGAAAATATATGGAGGTGTCGTAGAAAATATTCTCGAATTTTAAGTCTGTTTCTTAACTAACCAAGAATTTGAATTGCACATTACTCATTCCTTCTTGTTTTTTTAGGTGGTTGTTTATTGCACCATAAACATTGCTTCCCCACCTTAGTGAAAAATTAAAAGTATCTCTAAAATTCATAAATCCATATTTGAACACATCTCACTCACATTCGTTTTTCACCAATACCCTAAGACCATGTTAAAAAGTATTACGGAGATGCATCTTCATACACTATTATAATAAAAATGTGCTAGAGTGTCTTCTCCTTTCTCACTTCTCAAAATACTCTCTCAAAACACAAGCTCTCCAAACTCTCAAAACCTTTCAACTCTCAAACTCTTCAACTCACATTCTCTCAAACTCATTCAACTCACTTCAAAGTTTCTACCATCAGCATCCAATCAATCAAAGAGGTCACTTAACAGCAAACTAATCTTATTTTAAAGAAATTTGACGCGATGATATGGTTGAGATTGTCTTGAAAAACGCATCAGATGAAACCATTATAAGCTCTAATGGTTATGATTTGAAGGATCCTTGTTTCTCTGCAAATCTCTGCAGATTTCAAGTGGTTGGAGGTTGAAGATGATGATCTAAGCGTCCATCATGTCACTTGTTATGATCCTGCGCGTTTGACCTTTGTTGGCTGGATATAATGAGTTTGACTCAGATGCATCGTGGATGCGCGCTTTCTGACTCTTGGATTAGCCACGCCATTTAATGAAATGAGATCCAACGCGCCTTGTTTTTTCTGCCTTATTTTCTTTTTCTAATTTATTTTTTATTTTATTTTATTTTCAGAAATTCATAGAAAAATCATTTTTAATCAGAAAATTACCAAAATATTTTCTAAAATTTCCTTTTATCTTTCTCTTTCTGATTTTGATTTTTGTGCATTTTTATTTTTCATTTTTACGATTTTTCTTGAATTTTTGTTTGTTTTGTTAATTTTAATTGGTTTAAAATTATTTTTAAGTCATTTAAAATCATGAGAAAAATATCATATGATCCTATGATGGTCTTTGATCTATGGTGATTTTATTTGTTTTTTATTTCTAGTTTTTCTATTTTCCATGTATTTTTGGATTATTTGCTTGATTTTAATTAGTTTAAAATTGTTTTTGGCCATTTTAAAATTATGAAAAACTTATCACATGATCCTATGATGGTCCTTGACCTATGATGATTTTTCTTGAGGTTCCATTTGTGT